CCGACAGTGATATTAACTATTTATAAACATTCACATCAAAACAAAGTAAAGTAAAGTCAGCGTTCAAACTTAATGGCCCATCAGCAAGGCACCTATCTCTGGTTCTAACCTAATGGCCCATCAGCAAGGCACCTACCTCTGGTTCTCTTAACCTTCAACGGGAGATCAAATCTCTATTGAGCGTTTCTCGTGATAACAGATTATGAGACTACAAACGTACTATACATAAACAAAGTATTTTACAAATCTTTTGACCTGAAACTTCTAATATAAAATACACATGAGGAAACTCGTGCCACAATAACAACTGCAACTTTTAGCAGGCCTTCTAAAACTCATTAAAAATTCAATAAGTTTAGACAACGGAAATCATGACCGTGACGGCGGTGTTCTTAGTTAGAATATATTTTTACAATTTCATTTTTCCGTTTTCTCTTTAGCTTTGATTGAGAAGATATATCAAAAACTCAAGACAGTGTTTGACAAAAATTCCTCATACCTCGAAGTTCGTCAAAAATACTCCGCTACGCGTCGTATTTTCTTTTCTCTTTTTGATGTTTAGAAATGTGGTTAAACACGGTGTTTCGTGTTTGATATATTACATCGACATTTCTGTATCTTTAAGCAACAAAAATCTTCATAGTCACAGCGGGAAAGTAGAAATACGTAAAACACTGTGAAAAAAATCAAGAGAATTTTATGATCAGTTCCGTATAGGATAAGTTATTATATTAAACGCATTTAAACCTTTCGCCACGGGAGTAGACTGTTCACATCCTCTCTATTTAGGCACCCGTAAGAAAAAGCGAGCGAAGCGAGCGCGAAGCACGCTGGGGTGGAGGTTGGGTTTACGAGCGAAGCGAGCAAGAAGAAAGTCTTCCGTTTTGCGCTGGCGTTCAGTTCTCTCGCGATTCTATCCGCGCGTTTAACGATGGAATAAAAATACGAGAAAATAGAGGACTGTGAACAGTCTACCACGGGAGAGAACTTGTGTGCTTCTGACGACAGAGTTTGATTGGTTTAAATCTGTCTGATTTGATGACATTTTCGCACCAAAATGATCTTGTACTACTCAATTGTGAAACCCCTTTACATGATATATTTCACTACCCCAGGAAGTTTTGTAACTTTTTACTTCATGATCAAATAGTATGCGCCTCTAAAGTATTTTATGTCGACACATTCATCAAAAGCTGTAAAATAAGATAAAGTTTAGGGTTATATCAGAAGCATATAATCCCGAAGCGCGTAAATTCTCTTTAGATGTTCAGAAAGATGCTGAGGTTTTTTATCCCACCAATCAGAACTACGGATTTTTTTTGCCCAAATATGGAATCAGAGGCTTGAAGGCAAGCTTCTTTACAAAATGGCGCCCTTTCGCAGAGAGGCTGAAGGGATAAATCTTAACATCTTCTGACCCCAGTTGTTCGAAGGCTGGATAACGCTATCCATGAGATAAATCGCTATCCAG